AAATGATCGTGAAAACCATTTTACAAAATATTGGAAAAGCAAGTTTTATAAAATATATTTCCTGATAAGAATTAATCATTTTTATAGAAATTACCTTGGATTTATTGGACAATTTAGATGTCTTCTTTTTCTTCCTATTTGCTACTGTGAATTAAAAAAAAAACAGAAACTTAGATAATTTGGCTTTTCCATTTTTTTCCTCTTCAGATGAGGTGCGCACAGGCACATATCGCCAGCTGTTCCATCCTGAGCAACTAATTACTGGCAAAGAAGATGCTGCCAATAACTATGCCCGTGGTCATTACACCATTGGTAAAGAGATCATTGACCTAGTGCTGGACAGGACCCGCAAACTGGTGAGGTTCAAGTCTTTTGAGTACAAAATGAATTTGACTTTGACATTAATAATTACGAAGATGTTATTTCTAATAAGCTGATTTACTCCAACAGGCTGATCAGTGCACTGGCCTTCAAGGATTTCTCATCTTCCACAGCTTTGGTGGAGGTACTGGCTCTGGCTTCACCTCCCTGCTGATGGAGCGTCTCTCTGTCGACTACGGCAAGAAGTCCAAGCTTGAGTTTGCCATCTATCCTGCTCCTCAAGTGTCCACAGCAGTGGTGGAGCCCTACAACTCCATCCTGACCACCCACACCACCCTGGAACACTCTGACTGTGCCTTCATGGTGGACAATGAAGCCATCTATGACATCTGCCGTAAAAACCTGGACATCGAGCGTCCGACTTACACCAACCTCAACAGACTCATCGGGCAGATCGTGTCCTCCATCACGGCCTCGCTGAGATTTGATGGAGCTCTGAATGTGGATCTCACCGAGTTCCAAACCAACTTGGTGCCCTACCCACGTATTCATTTCCCTCTGGCTACATACGCTCCTGTGATCTCTGCTGAAAAGGCGTATCATGAGCAGCTCTCTGTGGCTGACATAACAAACGCCTGCTTTGAGCCGTCTAATCAGATGGTGAAGTGTGATCCTCGTCATGGTAAATACATGGCCTGCTGTCTTCTGTATCGTGGAGATGTGGTGCCCAAAGACGTCAACTCTGCCATCGCTGCCATTAAGACCAAACGCACCTGTTGTGGTTGCTAACCAGTTCTTCGTTGTTATTATCTGTTGTAGTAATACTGTCGTGAAGTCATGCTGATGTGCATGCTACACAGTTGTACCGTATTCCGTTGCTGTTGCCGCTGAAGTTCCTTGAGTAAACTAGCATTCACCCGAAGCTGTGTTTTCATGTGTTTTTGTTGAACATAACAGCACCATCCAGTTTGTTGACTGGTGTCCCACTGGATTCAAAGTAGGTATCAACTATCAGCCTCCAACTGTGGTTCCTGGTGGAGATCTGGCCAAAGTTCAGAGAGCCGTCTGCATGCTGAGCAACACTACAGCCATTGCTGAGGCCTGGGCTCGTCTAGATCACAAGTTTGACCTGATGTATGCCAAGAGAGCCTTTGTGCACTGGTATGTGGGTGAAGGAATGGAGGAAGGAGAGTTTTCAGAGGCCAGAGAAGATATGGCAGCTCTGGAGAAGGATTATGAAGAAGTCGGCACTGACAGCATCGGGGAGGAGGACGAAGAGGGAGAAGAATATTAAAGAAGCAGAATTACTGCCTGGAAAACTTAAATCTGACCATTTCAGTAAAGTTACTTGAAATTCAATTTGCATTTAAATTGGTTTTATATTAATAAAATTTGAATAGGAAAATAAAGAATTTATTCTTTTGTGTGTTTTGAAGTAATCTCGTTGTGTATTCTACGTAAAAACTCTGTTTTGTGTCATGGTTATGCAATGATGTCATCACGCAATGACATCACAACGTCATTTAGCAACTTTTAGCAACAAATCGATCTGCCTTTAGCAACTTCCCCTGAAAATTAGTTGGCAACACTGCTCTGCACCCCTTTACCTAAATTCATTACTTCAGACTTATGTGCCCTCTAGAAGCTTGCGTTCTGCAAGTGAACATTGCTTTATTGTTCATCCCAAAGAGGCACAAATTCACTTTCACTGACTTTTACATTAACTGTTCCCTCCTGGTGGAATGACCTGCCCAACTCAATCCGAGCAGCTGAGTCCTTAGTCATCTTCAAGAATCGGCTAAAAACACATCTCTTCCATCATTATTTGACCCTCTAACTCTAGCACTCTCTATTCTAATTCTATTCTTTAAAAAAAACGTGCCCTTTTTAGACTTGCACTCTATTCATTTACTAACTGCTTGTTTTCTTTAAAAAAAACACTTAACAGTAGCTTCTCTATTATTTTTGTATTATATCTATTTTCTAAGCTCTTTCTTAACCTGCCTTAAAGGGTTAGTTCACCCAAAAATGAAAATTAGGCTGTGTTTTACTCAACTGGGCGGATGACGTATGAGTTCAGCACTGTGCATGAACATTTTCTAACACAGCTGCAAATTACAGTCCAAACTACTGCACGAATTTACATGCGACATGCCGAAACAGCCTGGATAACAAACTCATCAAAAAATTATGCAAAAACATTTTATTTATTTTAGTTATTTGAGATGTTATAATAGCTCTCTAATTGTGTTAAAATATATTAAACAATAATTATTTAACAAATATTATATGTGTAGGCCTAACTGGGCATCAGAGGGAGCGGGCCTGTGCCCATGAGCATCAGGCCCGTCCGCTGCCTACGCCCCTGATAGATACATTCACTATATTTGTTTTAAAAGGTGCGGAATACTTTTAAAATATAGAAAATAAAATTGTCCTGTCACATAGGTGATTCCGTAGTTTGTAGCGACTCCTTGTGGATATATTCTTTAATCTTTGTGCCCGAGTACATTTATTGTAGTCTTTTTTTATATATATATATATTTATATATATTTTAGTGAATTTATTTCGTTATTTTATTGTTTATTTATTGCGCTGATAACAATATATGTGACCTGAAAGTGATTAGTCCAATTATAAACAGCTGAAGCAGTGCACAGGATTCTGATGTTGATGCTCATGCCAGGAATCAGCTGGAATTAGTGGTGCATGTAAGAACATGCTCATAATGTCTTGTGACTTTTACCAGGCCTGCTGTTCATTTTATGATACTAGAGGCTTTGTAGGCCCACTCCATGATCTTAGAACAGGTGGTTTCTGTTTTTAGCTGAAGTGAACCAGCAGATAAAGGAGATACACAGAATCTCCAGTAAGGGCGTAAGTGTTTACTCCTTTTTTTTAATGAAAAATATATTTTACTTGAGCAAGCACAACGGGTCATTTTACAGCAGATCAAAATGGGCTGTCGACCATTAACAGTGATTTGGCATAAAAAGGCCACTCAAGCACTTCCAGTGGCTTCACCACATTCTGGGTAATTCTATAGTAAACAAACATTTAATTTTATTACAAAATAATTGTCATACACTATCAAAAGATTAAACTGAAATATACTAGGCTATACTAATACGCAGATATAAATGATCAAACATACAGTAGTATAAATATACTGTACAATATAAAAAATGTCACATACGGGAAATCTTAACATTTTAAGTAGAGCTCAAACTTACTAGTTGTATATCATTTGAAACTGCTACAACAGCTTATGGTTCATTTTGAGTCAGACATGAGCAATTCAAAAAGATATTAACAGGAGACTGAATGGATAATTAGATCAGTGAGTTGTTGACTCGAAAAAAGAAAAAAAAAGAAGTAAAACAATTTATAATGAGAAATGAATTGTTTAGTGTGATTTGTGAAACTATTCAGCAGGTTCATTAAAAAAGATTCTGCCAACTCCAAGTGTCTTGTAGTAAAAACTTGAAATTGTGTAAAAAGTAGGCAACCATACTATGCTTTGGAGTGTGGGAAATAATTTTAAATTAGCCTACTGGAAGAGTAGTAGCACTGCAATCTTAAAGAAATTAAGAAAGAAGAAAATGTTGGGTAAAGAGTTTACTAAACCAAAGCTTTACATTTTTTTATTTTTTTATTCTTTATTTCAGCATTTTTAAATTCCTTCCCACAACAGGATCTGTCAATTTACAGACTGATGTGAAATCTGCTCAACATAAATGTGTAACTTTTCTGTTATTATCTTTTATCTTATATGGGGTTTAAAAGACATAAAGGGTGAGTAAATGATGACAGTATTTTAATTTGGGGGGTGGGGGGACTATCCATCTATCCTATCCATCCACATTGCTGCTTTGCTGCCAGAGATCCTTTAAGTGAATAGCATGCATTATCTTGCAGATTAAAATGAGGCTTTATTCATTTAATTTAAATATTTTTTTCAAAGTCAGTGTTCATATTTTAGCGCAGTCCCTGATTTGTTAAACTAGTATACAATGAGTTTGATGGGCTATGGGCTATCTTTCTTTAAACACCTTTAATACATAACTACATTAATATATAATAACTAGTTCATTCTGATAAGTACTTTGTGGCGGTAATGTACCTATTTGCGTTGGTGCCAGCCGCCGTTAAAAACCAAGAAGAAGAAGAAGATAAGTACTTTAGCTGCGTCCGAAATCGCATACTTCCATACTATATAGTAGGCGAAAAACAGTATGCGAGGCGAGTAGTATGTCCGAATTCATACGATTTCGGACGCACCCTTTGTGTCTGGTGCGCTTTGCTGCACATGGCTCCCTCAGGCTGAAGTGGGCGGGGCTCGTGACGTAAACAAACACTGGCATGTTCTAGACGGCGCCGTGTTTTTCAGACCGCAGCTCAGCTGATCGTGACGCACCGCATTCGCAGCAGAGGGCGAGGGACCGACACATATAGAAGTTGGGTCTCGGTGTCACGCTGAAGTAATGAAGCCCAGCGTGCCAGCGGTAAACGGGTGATTCTGACGGAATTCCGTACTCACGCGGACGTTAAAAGAGCGTCAGTTCCTGTGATCCGTGTCTCAGGAGTCGGGACCGACTAGCGCTTCACCGAGATATCCCAGCCCTGTTTACAGAAGCACGGCTCCTCCTGGCTGGATACACTTCTACAAAAGGTAAAAGTTGTTCTAATAGGGCGGCCACAGGCCCTGGGACTGCTGGATCTCTAAAACTCTGTATTAACAGGGAGTAGTGTGTGTCTCGGTGAAGAGCACGCGTGTTTCAGCAGCACCAGCTGTCAGTGGCCATATGGCCCACACAAATCGCTTTTCAACTTTGGGCTTGAAATAACATCACATTGTGTCCGGTTTCCAGAGAGTTCCAGACATGGGCAGGCCAGGCTCCAGGAGAATACCAGTCTATGTTCAGTCAATTAATGCAAGTCCAGCACTTTGTGATAAACTGTCATAATAAGCAACAGTTAATTGAGTTGCTGTCTTCCATTGCACTGCGTTTGAGCATGAGCAGAAAGTCCAGTGGAAAACCTGTTAGAAGTTCTGCCAGTAAAGAGCCTAGAAGATTAAAGTTGTTCAAATAAACCCTTAATAATTATCGGATACATTAAAATGATCAAAAACACAAGTACTTGATCACAGATGCCTAATTGTGTGAACATGACTGTAACTGACATGTAACAACAGTTCTGAAAATCGTATAAGGGTTTCAGAAACACTTCTTGACACATTTTGATGATTTATGATTTTTCACACATGTGAGTAACAGGTGGACTAAGCTGAAGGCCGCAATGGTGGATTACTATGATGTTCTGGGAGTGTCACGAAATGCTTCTCCAGATGACATCAAGAAAGCGTAAGTTAAAACTGCCTTCACTTAGCAGTAGCTTGCAGTATGGAGTGGCCTATGGCATTGTTATTGAATATAACTAAATTGGTCTCTGAGTAATCTAACTGTAAGCGAAGACTCAAGTATTTTGACACTTACTGTTTACCTTTATAAAGTATTCATCAACCCTGAAATACACTAATGTTCAGAATCCGTTGCTTAGCAAATTTGCATTAATTTTATGAAAAATAAAGTGAAAACAGTAATAATGTAAATATTATTACAAAAAAGATAATTGTGAATTATTTCACAATTATCCATAAACCATCTTAAGGCCCGTTCACACCAAGCACGATAACTATAAAGATAACGATAAAGATATAGTTCTAAAAATCGTTCTCAATATTAAAGAATAGCATAGTTCACACCACAACTATAACGATAACGATACAGAGGAACGATATCGTTGTGATCACTTTCAAAACGATTTTTTTCCAGCTGATGAACGATAAAACACTGACAGCCAATCAGAATCCATCCTGCTGTAATGAGCTCAAGAATTTAAAGCGGCAGACGCATGTGTGCTTAGAATAAACAGATGATATCGTTCGCTGGGGTGGACGCTAATATCCTTATCTTTATAGTTATCGTTCTTGGTGTGAACGGGGCTTTAGTGTTACATGTGCTTACACAAAATTCTGAAATTTTTGAAATTCTGAGTTTATGTCTCGAAACAAGTTTCTATCATTTTAATACATTTTAAAATGTAATTCATTACTGTGATGGCAAATCTGAATTGGAAAAAAGTGACCATTCACACATTTTAACTTGACTTGGTGCTCCAAAATGTGGAATTCATGGTGCAAGATGCTAAAAACAAATATGAATCACAACAGTCTAACATGTCAGTCTAATGTTTATGTAGAAGAAGATGGATGCAAGAATGTGTCATATGTGAATGAACCCCTGATCCTATATATCACTTCATCACAATCTTGAGATGCCAGTCAAGCTAAGTTTACTTATGTTTATTTATGTTGTGTATACAGTTACAGGAAACTGGCTCTGCGGTGGCACCCTGACAAAAACCCAGACAACAAGGAAGAGGCGGAGAAAAAATTTAAGGAGATAGCGGAGGCCTATGAAGTTCTTTCAGACAGTAGGACACTGGAAATTTTATCTCTACAGCAATTTTATTAATGGTTAAATTACTTGGTAGGAAAGGCTTGCATTTCACTGTTGTTTTTTTCTCATTATCAAGCAAGCAAACGAGATGCTTACGACAGATACGGTAGATCAGACATACCAAGCTCGGGTGAGGAGAACTTCACACTACTTAAAACCATCTTAAGGCCCGTTCACACCAAGCACGATAACTATAAAGATAACGGTCTTAATTGTATTTGACATCTGTTTTATAGGCTCTGGTGGTTCTTCATTTCCTGATGACTTCCCAGGATTCAGCTTCACATTCCGCAGCCCAGATGAGGTGTTTCGAGAGTTCTTCGGAGGGCAGGACCCATTCACAGACTACTTTGGTGGGTTCTCAGGGAGTTTGTCTGTTGATATGCTGATCTTGAATCTTGCTAATATAACGGTGTGAGTGTTTTCTCTGTGTCAGAATTTCCCTCACACCAGTGGTTCTCAACCAGGAGCCCGGGGCCCACTAGGGGGTCTCTGCAAACTTCCATGAGGCCCCAATACATCGTAGAATTATTTAAATGTAGTTATATTATGATGATTTTAATTAAAATGATCAAAAATAAAAATAAAAATGTACAACATTAAACTGACATTGTATTTTTGAATTAATTTGTTTTGATTACAACAGACGTACCAGAGATGCATATCAGCTTAGATATTAAGGCCTCGGACAAAACAGGTTGAGAACCACTGACTTAAACTTAGGGTTCTTACATTTTCTCTTACTTTAATGGGTACACACTGCACAAAGTCGTCAGATTGCTGTTCTTCTCACACTACATGACTGTCTACAAACTAAGTTTTACAACCAAACAACCAGAACCAGAAGTGATACAGAAAATAACGTAAGATCACACACGAGACTGGATTTCTTCCTGTTAAAAAGCTTGCAATACAAGTTGTCTGCATGCTGATTTGGAACGGAAAAAAAAAAGAAGACTGAAGGAGAGAATGGTTGCTTGCTGATGTTCTGTTGCAGGTTTATGACTCCTCCTCCTGAACTTTCCCTTGCCCTATATCTTGAACTCACATTGGCTGTAGGTCTTCGCCGATTTAATTTCTAGTCAAAACACATTTTCTCACGGGCATCAGCGATGCATTGGCGCTTCTCTTAGATCACAAAAATCTGTACTAAAATTGTGCAGTGTGTACCCAGCATTACACTCTTTAACTCTCCCACTTTGCCACTAGATGATTTCCCATTTGGTGGAATGCACAGTGGGCTTCACAGCTCCTTCTCCAGGCTTGGGCCTAGTCGCTTCTTCTCTTTCCCCTCAGCAAATGGTTGGTTTTTAAAATGATTTCATCATTTTTTTTTTGTATATAATTATTGCATATGTGTTCAGTCTCCTCCCAGAATAATACTTAATTTAGGTGAACTTTACTGAATATATCTTTATAACACTAATGGAAATTTGTTGAAAACCTCCAAGGCATGTTGTTGATATGAAAAGAATAGTATTTTTAATTTATTAAGAGCTGCACTTTTTTTTTGGGATCAACAGCTGATTTCACCTCCTTCTCTTCTTCAATGGGTGGGATGGGCAGCATGGGAGGAGCAAACTTCAAGTCTGTTTCTACTTCCACCCGCATTGTCAATGGAAAACGTATTACCACAAAAAAGTCAGTTTGCTTCTCATTATACTAATTTTGCCTACTGTTACCTTTGTTCCATATGTGGTATAATATGCATATAATATGTAATATGCATACAGAATGTATAATATGCAAAATATATGCATCCTGCACATTAAACAAGAAAGTTGTGTTTGATTAAATAAGCAATTTAAACGCAGTTGATGAAAATTAGTAAAAAATGATTTATGCCGTGCCACAATGTGAAGGCCTGGCTTACAGAAATTCAGAGGAATTCAAGTTTGTTTATGTATTTCCTGTTAATTGATAAACATTTCATTTCTTCCCGCAGGGTCAGAGAAAATGGCCAGGAGAGAACAGAGGTTGAGGAGGATGGGGTTTTGAAATCGGTCCTCATCAATGGTAATTCATTTTTTGTTATCATTTAATAATAATATAGGACCAGAGGGCATCTCTATAGTTAATGCACATATTCTGGTGTGTAATAAAAATTCACCTTATCAGCTCAGGATGAATCTGCCTGGGAAAGTAGATGCATTTGGAATACTAATACACATAACCTACCCTTCAAACATTTGGGGTCAGCAAGATTTTTGTGAAAGAAATGAATACTTTTATTTGAAAAGAATGCATTAAATTAATTTTTAAAAAATACAGTAAAGACATAAAAGTCTTTTGTTATAATGTAACAAAATATTTCTATTTCAAATAAATGTTGTTTTTTTTTACTTTCTATTCATCAAAGAATCCTGAAAAAATGTATCACAGCTTCCACTAAATATAAAGCCACACAACTGTTTTTGTAGAATTTATATTGTATTATACAATTTATTAAAATATATTTTTGGAGATTAACTCAAGACTCTTGCACTCTGGTGTGTAGGCATATCATTTTTTTTGGTATGTCTTTATCTTTTATCTTGGCTTGTTGCCTAATGTCTAAACTTCATCTTGCTTTAAAGGTTTTAAGGACTTTTCCTTTTTTATAACAGTGAAAACAGGAATTTTTCTCTAATTCATCCACTTGTCACTGTACATTACAAGTTAAACCCTTATTTCCTGTTTTAATGGTAAGAACTTCTCAAGTAACTCTAAACCACTTATTTAGTTGTTCTCTTATTAGGCTTGCAGGTAGATTTAGCTTACTCATTACATTTCACACTAGCTTCTTGATTTGTCGTATGCAGATTGCTCATTTCCTGTAGAGCTGATCTGACATTCAGCTGTGTTTGTGTGTCCAGGTGTGGAGGATGAGATGGCCTTAGCTCTGGAACTGAGTCGTAGAGAGCAGTCCAGTCAGCCTCCCAGACAATCCCAGCATCCACTGCTCCACCCCTTCAACAACAGCTCTGCAAACCCCGCTCTACGCTCCTACAGCGCCGCCCCGTTCTACCACTGCCCCGATGCCAGTGAAGATGAGGAGGATGAAGACCTGCAGATGGCACTGGCCTACAGCTTGTCAGAGATAGAGGCCCAGCAGCGGGCAGAGGACGTGATCTCAGGTGCTGAGGGAGGGAGGGAGAAGCAACCAGGTGGTGGGAAGGGTGCCGTTCAAAAAAACACAGATCAGAAAGAAGTACCGGATAATTCAAAACAAAGCACCCCCTTGTCTCCAGAGGATAGACTGACAGAACAGGGTCGGGCTAGAGGTTCAGAAAGTGTTGTTGTACAGGATAAGGAGAATGACAAAATGACAGCCAATGGGACTAATGTGGTAAAAAAGAGGAGGAAGTGTCGGTGCGTGGTCTGTTAGTAAGAATATGGAGAATCATCATGCTTGTGTGAAATTAGCAGAGTTATAACCTTATGTTTTCATCTTATGGTTGTTTTTTTAATCCTTCCTGAAGTTTTTGAGTGTGCTTTGACTTACAGCTCTTATGGCATTGCACAAATGACTGTTGAAATTGTATTTTCTCGCATTGAGATATGAGTAACAGGTGCCAAAATGTGTTTCCCTTTCAAGGGAACTTCGAACTGTGTCCTCTAGGGGTCGCTATGGGGAACGCCTCGTCGTGACCCGTGTCTGAAGCATACATTGAAAAAACACCAACAACACATTGGCCGGCGACAGCCCATGACGTCACTACCGGTGCGACTATAGTATAAATAGGCGCCGGGAGAACATGTCATTCTCTTCTTCGTCGTCCTCTAGGCTTCCTGCCATGCTTCAAACGCAAGCTTCAGATGAAGAAGTGAATGACATGTTCTTCCGGTGCCTATTTATACTATAGTCGCACCGGTAGTGACGTCATGGGCTGTCGCCGGCCAACGTATTGTTGGTGTTTTTTCAATGTATGCTTCAGACACGGGTCACGACGAGGCGTTCCCCATAGCGACCCCTAGAGAACGCAGTGTCTCGTTCCCTACTCAGAGAACCATGGTTGCATAAGTAACCTGAGACGTTATTCACCACAAAGTCAGGACATTTTGAAGGAACTGTTTGCAATATTTTAGAACCCCATGCACAAAATGTCCTGCTGTCTGACAGATATCACTGAAATGGGTGTCTTGGGATATCATTTGCCAGCATTTACTCTGTAAACAGTGAAAATTGTCACTAGTCACTATTTTAGCTAATCAGAAACACTGTCTGCCTGTGAGTTGCTTGGCATTGCTGGCATCAGGTTGACTGACATGTCTTTACAGGGTGTGATTTTGGGATTTTGGAGAGCAGGTATATTGTTAGCAAAATGGTAAAAGTTAAAGGGTTAGTTCACCCAAAAATGAAAATTAGCCTGTGTTTTACTCACCCTTGAGGCGTCCTAGGTGTATATGACTTTCTTCTTTCAGACGAATCCAATTGGAGTCCTGGCCCCTCCAAGCATTATCATTGCAGTGGGTGGGTGTTTTTTTTCAACGGTCCAAAATACGTCAAATAAAGCATGCGCATCCATAATGAAACGTGCCTCACACAGCTCCGAGGCATGAATAAAGGCCTCCTGTAGTGAATCCATGTGTTTTTGTGAGAAAAATATCCGTATTTCAAACGTAATAAACACTTTTCTCTCACTTCTGCTGAGGCAAGCTGCGCAACACCACGTTCATAATCGCGCGATTTTTTGCGCAGCTTGTCAGTGAACAACGGCTCTGTGTAGTAAATGTTGCTCCATGTGAAAGCCCGCACGTGATGGAGATTTACCGCTGATTACAGAAGCGGCTTTACTGACAAGATGCGCATTAAATATCGCATGCGATTTATCGTGCAGCCCTATTATCCAGTAAATTCTGAAAAACTGTAAAAGTCATGGGACCTTTGAATATGGTTTTGGACGATGGGTGGTCCTGGAGTCAGAAATATTGAGAACCACTGCTCTAAACAGTTTTAATGGCTTTTCTCAGTGTTGCATAGCATTTGAATGGATATCTTGCTCATTAGTTGACATCCCATTCCCAATGAACCTTCCATTTATTTTTCCAGCAGTGAAGTACTCTTGTTTCATTTGTTTTCACATTAATTAGTATTGTTCCTTCTAGAAGGGAGATTCTCGGATTCGCGTCTGGATGCGTTCTGATTTTTATTGTGCATTTGTCATTCCTTGAGAGGTACCTGTTGAATGTGAAGGTGATATTTTGGGGGGCAAATTTTGCACAAAAACCTAAAGATAATCTGTCTCTGAGGGCTCATGTTGTGTCAATGACTAATGGCTAGTCACTAAGAGAATGTAGAATCCAGAATTATCTCAGTTAATGAGAATGTGCCAAATAACTGACAGTAACTTGCATCATTAGTTTATATAGTATTGATATTTCGTTTGTGCCTTTTTTGTTAGAATAGAAATGCTTGGCTATTGTTGCCAATGCTATATCTCACTTGCCAGTTTGTGTTTAAGTTAGCCGAAGAAGCACATTTTACTTTTTTATTGTTTGTGCATTTTGTTCCATTATAACTATCAGCTTTGTGATATAAAATGAACAATCAAAACATCAATACATGAACATTTGTTTTGCTTAAAAATACTAAGCACAGAAAGTTTGAATGTGATGCTATGTGAATATTAATAAAAATATTTTGTGTAACTATATAAGCTGCAATCAGGAAACTCATCAAAAAGTCATTGATTTACACAAAACTGCTATTTACGAAAATGTTATGTAAGACAACATTGTTCTCTCAGAAGTGTCCAAATCCACAGGGCATATTCAGTGCTCAGAAAGTGCTATTTAAATGACTAAATTGTTAATAAATGCTGTTTCAGTCATTGTTAACATGATGTTGTTGCTAATATGAGGAAACAATAAACTGTATAATACATTCTGTTCACTACATTCAATTCATTTTCAATTTTAAAGGCAGAGTAAGTGATTTCTGGTAGCCAATGTTGATATTTGAAATCACCAAAACAAACACGCCCCTACCCCCAAAAGGGTCTTGCCCCTATTTTGATAGCTCCGCCCCACATATACGTACGCAACCCAGGCAACGATTAGTTCTGTGAAACAAAGCAAAACCAATGTTACACCATGTCTACCTAAAGTGTTTTTGAAAAATCACATACCCTGCCTTTAAGGATAAGTATTTTTGATGGACTGCTAATTGTTATCCATTTACTACCAGTTCACCTGATTAAAACAGCAGATTTTTATAAACTACTATGCCTTTAAATCAAATTTGGAAAAAACAGCTGAGATGCTTTGCATTATTTAAATCCCTTTTCGCTTGCTGCTATAATCCACCATTCACTATCCAGCATGTCATTCTCAGATTTTTTTTGTCAATACCAGCACATTCATATCATCATTCCCACTCATATGCATTTATGATGTTTATATTTTTGTTTTCCTGGGATTTTTACCTGACTCCTTCTCCCTGCCGTTACAGAGTCCGACTTCCAGGCCTTCACAGGCTGACCTGTGGCTGTGACCCCCTCTTACCCCCCGAGGTAAAACGAAGTGTAGATGTCTCTGCAGCTCTTAAGCATAGTTTTCAGCTCTTCTCCCCATTCAGAGTTCATTAACTTTTGTGTATTTGTGAGTTGAGTTTGCTGCTCCTGCTGTAGAGCATGCAGTATTCCAGGAAAATATTGAACACTACATGATTAATTTGTTTTAATTCACCAAAAACACAAACCAAGAAACTGTGAGGCAACACTAATACTGGATTCATCCGTCTGCTCTTAACAGGTGAAGCGTTCCCCGGTGCTCTGCTCTCTCTTTCTACTTCTCTGTCTCTCTCTGCCTGGCACACCTGCTGCTCAGACCCTTTTCAAAGTTTTATTTGAAAAAAACAACAACAAAAAAACAGGCAACACTACATAAAGGTCAAACATGTATGTGTACGTGCATTGTGTATGAATGTGTTCTCAGTCTTGGAGAGGGAATACTGGATTGCTTTGTATATATAAATTCAATTTATGGCCTGCACTGATCATATATATATGAGCTAATGTAAAAAAACCAAGTGTCTTAAAGACAAAATTCTTCATTAACATTTTAATGAATGATTCAAACCGTGATGAATGTATAGTTGTACTTGATATGCAATATTTGAGAATTTAAAATCTTCATAACTTGTTATGATAAAGGTTTATTATTTATTCAGAAGGGTTTCTTGTGTTTTAATTGAAATCTCTGCTTTTTCATGTCTCATTATTTTGTAGTTTTTTTTATACACTACTGTCCAGAAGTTTGGGTCCGTATGTTTTTAAAAGAATCTTATATTCACCGAAATGGCATGTATTTGGTCAAAAATACAGTGAAAACAGTAATATTGTGAAACATTACAATTTAAAATGTGTTTTCTATGTGAACATTTTTATTTATAGCTGAATTTTTAGCAACATTACTCCAGTCTTCAGTGTCACATGATCCTTCAGAAATCATTTTAATATGCTGATTTGAAGCTCAAGTAACATTCTTTATAATTAATTATTATCAATGTTGAAAACAGTTGTGCTGCTTAATGTTTTGTGGTAACCAAAAAGGTTTTTATTCGAGATTTTAGAAAGGTCAATAGAACAGCATTTATTTGAGACAGAAATCTTTTGTAACTTCATAAATGTTTACTGACATGTTTACCCCAAACTTTTGAATGTTAGTGTAGATTAGACATAAACAGGTACTACGTTTTTTTTTTTTTTGGGTGTTGCATGGTCATAATGAAAGAGGGAAGCCACACACATCAAGCAGTGCTGCTACACAGATTCACATTTAATTCAGAACCATTTAAAAATTATAGTCATATAATTCTCTTTTTTTAAATAGTTTTCGACACATTTGCTACAGGAATAAACAGAGCTCTCAGTGAATTATTTACAGTGATCACACGACGTAAAGGCGGCACTAGACATTACAGATGTGAAAGCACTGAATGTTCTTCAGAAATCATTTTAATATGCTGATTTGAAGCTCAAGTAACATTCTTTATAATTAATTATTATCAATGTTGAAAACAGTTGTGCTGCTTAATGTTTTGTGGTAACCAAAAAGGTTTTTATTCGAGATTTTAGAAAGGTCAATAGAACAGCATTTATTTGAGACAGAAATCTTTTGTAACTTCATAAATGTTTACTGACATGTTTACCCCAAACTTTTGAATGTTAGTGTAGATTAGACATAAACAGGTACTACGTTTTTTTTTTTTTTGGGTGTTGCATGGTCATAATTAAAGAGGGAAGCCACACACATCAAGCAGTGCTGCTACACAGATTCACATTTAATTCAGAACCATTTAAAAATTATAGTCATATAATTCTCTTTTTTTAAATAGTTTTCGACACATTTGCTACAGGAATAAACAGAGCTCTCAGTGAATTATTTACAGTGATCACACGACGTAAAGGCGGCACTAGACATTACAGATGTGAAAGCACTGAATGTTTGTAAAAGATCTGACAGGAACCTTAAGATATTACAGGTGCCTTTCAGGTACATTCCAACGAATTCAGAGTTCAGACATGACTGTGCATATATGATCTCATGTTTGACTGCATGAGACATGGTGGCTTCTTTT